ATTTTAGAATAATAGGTGATAAAAAGTAGCTCATAACAAACAATGAACATAATGCTGAATTGATCATCTTCACAATTCAGTGGTGGCTATTTGCTTACAAATTTTCATCCATGATATTTGACAAAATAATAATTAATTCAGAATTTTGTTTCACTTATCTGTATTTGATTTTCATACAATTAAATACATTTCAAAAGTCATTCTTGTTTGATATTTCCACTAGATATCTGCCAGCTGTATTACATAATTCCACTCTATAGTATCTGGGCTACACAATCTGTAAACATATGAAAGCGGTGTAGGAATATGCTATAGACAACTTTCAATTTATAATATATTAATCTATGTAACACTTTAATATAGAGAAATATGTCCATACAGTGCAGATGTTTAAAAGGCATATTGCATTAATTGCAATCAAAACAAAAGAACAAAATGATTGATGAAATTATTTTAAAGAAGTTACAGCATTATAGACATATATGTACTGACTTTATGAAGTTATTAATTCTATAAAATTTGCGGGGATGAATACTGATAATTAAACTGATTAACTAATTTTGATAGAATTAAATGAAGAAAATAAAAATTACCAGTAATATTTCTTCCATTGTATTCTTTTGTTCCGCAACTACACCATTTTCTTCTTATTCATCCTCTTGTCACATGTTACTGAAATATTTGGCTTCAACCTAAATTTTGGATGTAGAAAAAAAAAACAATCATGTTATAATTTTTATTTCATTTTAAGACTTCAGTGGGTTTTTTTCTAGAATGGAATGATCAAAATGTATAGTTTATTTAGAAAAATTAAGAATGATTTCTATTTTCCCTCCATTATATTTTTAAACAGGTTTCCTGGAAATTTATTTAATTTCTTTCAGAATACTGGGCTTACAAAATTCATTATTATATGAAAAATCAAAAATATTAAGAACTGTAATTTAATTATAACTTACCATTTATCTGTCACGATTGGCTGCTAATTTCCCTCCATTTTTTCAAAATGAGTAACGAAGTTTAACACTATTATGCTCCATGTTATATATATGTTAAAGTTTCACAATAAATTTTCCAAGAAAGTTCTGTATAGCTAGGGTAGTTGAATTCTTAAATATCATTATCTATATAATTATCAAAACTCATTTATATATTAATACATAAGTGTAAGATGATTTATTTGAATCAAAATCACAACTTAAGCCTCCAATCTTTCTAAAGAAAATGACCATGCTGGAAACAATTTTCAGGGTGTGATATTTGCTCTGGATTTTAAACTGCTGACGGTCAATCTGTGCTAACTTCTCTATTTTCATCTGCCAGATAGCCCAGTTTAACATAAAGTATTTTGAAATACTGTATAAAGTTCCACTTGAAGGTTATTTGTTTATATAAACTGAAAGCTGACCTTAGACATTATGAGATTCTGTGCAGATTGTGAGATGGTGGATAAAAACTAAAAATCTTGTACATTACTTATTCAGCTGACCAATTTATGCATTAAATAAAAAATTGTTTGTGACATAAGTTTAATATAGATACAATCAATTACTAGTAACATTTAAATTATCAATTTCATAGATGACAATAAATCATTTTGATCTAAATAATCCACATATTATATTTATTAAATTTCAAAAAAAAAATAATAAAAAATAATTCAGTAAATGAAAATAATTTTTGTTAAATGGAGTTTACCATAAATCAAGTGATAATTTCTAGAAATAGACATTATAAAACGTTTTTCTTCTGAATTTAAAATTCAATTTTGTCTCTAATAACTCTAATTCAGAAAAATCAGGCTGGAAATGAAGAACTAATTAAAGAATGTATTAAAACTGGTTCTTCAACATTTTCTAACTTTGAAATATCTGGGTAGATTTTGCTTATATTTCTCCAAGTCAATAAAATCTGTGTCAAAATATTTTCAAAGTGCAAATATTCCTGCCTCCACCCTGACTTTTACCAAAGTGAAGACAGTGTCAGGGTAGAAAATACTTGAATTCCCATGTGAGATTCATTGAAAATTCAGGGTCCATGTCTATTTCACCCTGATTTTGCCAATTCTGGTTCAAAACAGGCCTGAATCGGTCCTGTTTTACATAAAATCCATGCTGATTTTTCGTACAGGGAAAATCAATGACCCCCTGGGACGGGGCCAATTTTGACCCCAGGGCTTTTATTTGAATAATCTTGGTAGACAATCATTAGAAGATGTTTCATGCTTAATATCTTAGCTCTAGCTCTTTGGGTTCTTTAAAAGAAGATTTTTTTAAGTTTTTACTATATGCATATAAGGAAAATCAATGACCCCCTGGGGCGGGGCCAATTTTGACCCCAGGGATTTTATTTGAACAATCTTGGTAGACACTCACTAGAAGATGTTTCATGCCAAATATCTAAGCTCTAGCTCTTTTGGTTTTCTAGAAGAAGATGTTTAAAGTTTTTTCTTTTGGTTGCCATGGCAACCAGAGTTCTGCATGGAATGGAATTCTTTGAACAACTTTGTTAAGGCTTCACACAAGGAACATCCCTGTGAAGTTTCATTATGATCTGCCTTATGGTTTCAGAGGAGATGTCGTTTGAAAAGTGTGAACGGACAACGTACGACGGACGACGTACGACGGACGACGGACGAAGAGTGATCCTAATAGCTCACCCTGAGCATATGCTCAAAACAAAACGTTATGGCAGTAAATTTCAGCCAGTCATTGAAACATTCTTACAAAGTTTGTTAACAATAAAAATTATGATCTCTAATGTTGGCAACCCGGAAAGGAAACTGACCAATCACGTCGGGCTCAGGGGAACTTTCTTATAGAACATGGATGCTCCCCACATTCCACTGTTTTGTTATTACATTGTATTATACAGTTGGAAAGACTGACACTGACAGCTGTAGGGATAGACAAATTTATATATCTGTCCTCTTAGTTAGGGCATAAAGACAACTTGTTATCACACTTTTATCGCATGCAATAACTTTCTTCTCTGTAAGGTTATTTAAGTTACACCTACACTGTATAGATTGTCACTGGTTTTCAGCTTTAATGGGAGGAAATCCCAAGGTGCTCTTTGGTAAATTACATCTGTCATGAATGGTCACCAGAGGAAAACTACCAACCCTCTGTTAGTAAGTCAGCAAGACAGCTTTCTCACATGAAAGAATCAGTAGTTCTTAGCCAGTTTCAAAGTTAATGCAGTGTGAGTCTTGAAAGTGAATCGAGGCAGCAAACTTGACCACTGTTTGGCAAATGAGGCCCCACTCAATGTTATGAAGCATATAACAAAGTCACTATGCACCAATTTACATTTATTTCTCACCAACTATACTAATAATCAATAACATAAATATAATAATATAATACATATAACCTAGCCAAAACTATCAATTCTGTAAACATTAAATCAACAACCCAAGTAACTCCCTTGAATATACAGAACCAGATGCACAATCTAAAATTTTGCTTAATGCTTTATATATGTATAAATATATATATTATATATACATAAAACACCCTTTTAAGCATGTTAGTTGTTATAAAATAAACTATCTTAAAAAAAATACATGTAACAATCCTTAAAACAAGGGCACTAAGCATATCAACAATAACTTAGCCCTGAATCTGAAAATAAAAATTACATGTTATTTTGCTTGCATAAATATTTTAGCAGTAACAGGTGTTGGTGTTGCAGTGACTCATAATGTTAGTCCCCTAAAATTATATTATCTTACTTGTATGCACTGATAGATGTCTCGATCTTTTAACAACAAACTTCCAACTTTTAATTCAAATAAAACAACAAATTCAAATAATTTGGTCAATAAATACAAAATAGTACATTGGCCAGACATGTGCCCACACTTAAAAGAGATATGATAAATAAGTCCAGCATACTTCAGGTCCTAACATTTGTTCAAATATATAAATAAGCATCAGAAATATTAAAGACCAATTAAGGCATTTAACTTTACAGGGATTTTTTTCCAGGATTTTGGGACATGACCCATACCCATGGAATTGGAAATTTCAGCGATTTTTGTTAAAAATGCATGACTTAAATTTTGCAGCAATTAAATGAATGCAGAGAATCACTGTCTAAGATGGCGTCTTCAAACATTTTAGCACTAATACAGTGAAGAAGCCCTTATTTTCAAAAATTTTAGAATTCTTTATTCAATATTTCTATTTTGTAACTTTCAATTGGGAATATTTTCCTGTGGATTGGGAAAATAATATACTATTTTCGATTGGGAATACGACCCAATGACGGCTATAAAATAAGCCAAAAAATCCCTGCTTTAACCAGTAAGAACACAATATAAAATAAAACACACTTAAAAACAGGCATAGCCCGTTACTTTAACATGTATAAACATCTTTATAATACCTTAATTACATTATAACATGTAATTTTAATGAAAAATACAATACTTCAAGTGATGAGAACACAAAAGAAAAAATAGATCTTGATGGGTCTGTAATAAATGTTAAATATACCTGAAAAAACTGAAACCTAGATGTGAAACAAAAATACATATCCCAAAAATATATCACAAAAGAAAATAATTTAATAATTTAAATTCAAACTTGGATGTCTTATTTTATAACATACAGTCATATCCTGTAATTGTTACCAGAATTTCTGCACATTATTTCACCCAACCTCCCCAAAACAGAAATACGTATACACTAAATAACAATTGAAACCTCTATTGTAATTGTTGTCAAAATTCATAACAAGCAAAAAGAAAAGTGTCCTTTTATGTGTATTTATGATTTACTTTAAATGAATTTGAATGACACTTGTGATAAAATGACTTTAAGATAGAGCCACTTAAATGAACGACACACATGCATGCACGCACACACATCTTTTATTAAAGTATAAATTGACAAAACTAGTAGCTGTACAAATGCTACATATATATTTACAACTGTACATGTAATTCTGAAGTTTAAACTGTACAACAAACAATAACATTGAAGAAATTCATCTTTTTTTTTCCATTTTTCTTTTTAATTTAAATTTGTAACGTGTCTGTTCATACATGTGTCTGTGTCTGTAATATCAAACTCCTTAAGTTATCCACACTTTTATAACTTGCTGCATTAAAATAATACATTATGTATGAAGTATTTCAATAAATCAAAATATTATACAAAATCGAGCATACATGAATATTGTGTATGATTTCAAATTTGTATTTTATTCCAAAGAAACAATATTTTTTTCCAAGTAAGAATACATAAGAATTAATAAAGAAATAGAAATCTGTAAAATGGTCCCTACATGTAAACAAAAATATTTACAAATCTTCATTTAATATACAGAACATTCTACAATACATATTGTATAATAATATACATAAAATTATATCACAAAATAAGTAAAGAGTACAGACAAAATTGAACGTTAGAAAAAAAAGTAGAAAATTAAAAGAAATGGTGAAGACTGTACATTTTTCAATTAAGAAGAAACCCCATTATTATTCTAACAGACTTTGTGCTCCGCCCATTTTTCCTAATATGTCAATATGTAAATGACTCAATGCACCGCCCATTTTTCCTAATATGTCAATATGTAAATGACTCAATGCACCGCCCATTTTTCCTAATATGTCAATATGTAAATGACTCAATGCACCGCCCATTTTTCCTAATATGTAAACATGTAAATGACTCAATGCACCGCCCATTTTTCCTAATATGTCAATATGTAAATGACTCAATGCACCGCCCATTTTTCCTAATATGTCAATATATAAATGACTCAATGCACCGCCCATTTTTCCTAATACAATAATCCTTCTCATTGATTGAGACAAGCATTAAGAAATTGAGATTGTATCAAAAAGGAAAAATTTGCAATTTGCATAAAAAAGTCGGATACATTTGAGACGGTTTATATGTTAAGAATTTATAAGTAAAAAAATCCAATGTAACAGTTGTGAATTTGAACATGTGAACATGACTTTGAATAATTAAAAACATAAAAAAAAACGACTGATAAAATAGAAATGTGACAAAGTATTTTATGGCACAAGGTGATTGAGATTAATGTAATCTAAACATATACACAAACAGTGCCTATAAAGTTCTAAGTGGATTGAAAAAAGAAGCAAAATTAGTTTTTGCTTTAGAGACTTAAAGAAATTATTAAGTATTAAAAAAATAATTGGAAATGAAAATAAGAAAACAAAATCTGCTGTAGTTCAGACATTTCAAGTATAAGCATCAATTTGAAGGAGAAAAAATTATGGACATTCCTCTTTAATCCCTATCCCCCAAACTTGTATTTGGCGCCCCACCCCCCAAACACACACATTGAAGTAAACACTGATAAAGAAGGTGGACATTATTTCATTCAGAAAACACTTTAAATAATTGGTGGATGTCTATAGATGACCCATTCTTCTATCTTTAAAGATGACCCATTCTATCTTTAAAGATGACCCATTCTTCTATCTTTAAAGATGACCCATACTTCCATCTTTAAAGATGACCCATACCTCCATCTTTAAAGATGACCCATACTTCCATCTTTAAAGATGACCCATACTTCCATCTTTAAAGATGACCATACCTCCATCTTTAAAGATGATCCATACTTCCATCTTTAAAGATGACCCATACCTCCATCTTTAAAGATGACCCATACTTCCATCTTTAAAGATGACCCATACTTCTATCTTTAAAAGAAAATATATTTAGGTGGGTGTTAAAACAAGCTAAATATCACCACATATTCTACTGGCAAAAAGGTTGGATTACATATTATGATAATATGGGGGACTTTTTTTCTACTATGCCCTCTAAAAATTTAGAAAATCACATATTTTTTGTTGATAGTACAATTCATACAACTGGGAACAATAAAACTATTTTCAACAATACTCATTTCATACATTGGAATGTATCTCTAATTAAAATCCATTATAAAGGAGACATACATATTCATTGTAAAACTATAACGGCAATTGAAAAAGTCGGGAAATAAAGTCATGTCAGTCATTTAGAAACAAAAAAAGAATATAATTATAGTGTTCATATATCATGTAAAATGTGAGTAACAAAAAATCTTTGTATGTAATGTGTCTCACAATTTAATGATACTGTGAATTTACTGAGAAATTGAAAGAAAATATCTTTCCAAGTCTTACACACCATTTTTACATATCACTCTAAATCTTAAATAAAATACAATAATACTTATTGTATTTATTATATTTAACATTTATTGCAAGAACAGTGTTTTTGAAATACCATATACTTTATTCTTTAAAAAACTGTTAAAAGATGTTCAAACAAAGATAAAAAAAAAATTATATATTGCATTTTATGTTTGTTTGAACATCCTCGGGATGATAATTTTACTGTTACCCACAAACCCATGAGTTATTTATATACTAGCACACTTGCTTATTGGGGGATACTGCTCCAACACCCCTGCTTTTGTACATGCTTCTTTTCCAAACAACAAAATTCAGAATAACACTAAGGAAACAGAATAAAAGCATATTAAAACAGAATAAAAGCATAGTAACAAAAAAATGCATGCACACTGGAGTCTGCGAAACTTGATTCTATCTAATCAAAGAAATGTTAAGAAAAATTACATAATAATTGATCATAACTGAAAATCTCATTTATTTTTACATTTATAGTATTTCTTGGAGGCTCTTGTGATATGATTTTAATGTTTGGATTTCATTAAGTTAGCTTAATATATATGTTGCATACCAAAGGTTGATAAGCATGTAACATAATGTTAATGAGTTAGGCCGTGGGTTATCTGACGATATCTTGATATAAAGCTCATGAAATGGATTATATGAGCCGCGCCATGACAATACCAACATAATGGGTTTGCGACCAGCATGGATCCAGACCAGCCTGCGCATCCGCGCAGTATGATCAGGATCCATGCTGTTCGCTATCAGTTTCTCTACTTGTTATAGGGTTTGTAAGCGAACAGCATGGATCCTGATCAGACTGCGGGGATGCGCAGGCTGGTCTGGATCCATGCTGGTCGCAATCCCATTATGTTGGTTTTGTTGTGATGCAACTCATATTGTAAATGACCTTCCAATTTAGTATATACCTTTATGCCAAATTGCCATCACAGTCAAAATATCACAACAGAACAAAAACATAAAAGCACAATATTTTTTACAACATCACAGTTATAATGTATTTTGTGCTATTGTCACAAGCCTTGCAACGAATTTCATTTTTGGATCATATTTTCACACTAAGAACAATTTTCTAGAAAAACGAAGCGTGTAAATAATCTGAAATTTTTCACAGAAAAAAACACCAAGTTTTTGGTCAATACCTATATCAAATGGAACATTAGCCTTAAAAAAATATTTCCAGTCCTGTCATGTCAAAAAATCTCAGATCAGCCTTTAAAGAAGCTTAACAATAATTGCTTCCCAAAAGTACTTTCAATAAATTAAAATAATGATAAAAAATACATTGAGAACAACAATTTTCGTTGACAATAACATGAGCTATATCATGTAAAAGCATAGATAGTTAAGTTTTAGATAATATTTAATGATTGAAAGTATGTTTTCCCCTGATATTTTACCATTCATCCCACATATTGCATTCTTTTTATTGCAGATTTCTCTCCAGACAATTTACCTCCCTTTTTTGTAAAAGTCGGCCTGTACCTGTTGTATGTCCTGAAAAAATACAAACTATACAATTCAACATTTGAATGGGTTACCTACATAGCTATATATCTTACTTTGCAGTAAAAATGAAATTTAAACTATTGTTTTGTGATAAAAATTAAATGTTCAAAAAATGACAGCAAAAAAATTGTTTATTATCAGTTATACTAATATAAGAAAGGTATAGTAAGGCTGCGTTTAAAAGATCACTATATTAATCAACATGAAAGATATAATATGGGAATGAGAAATAAAACATAGCTCCCTGAAAAGTCAAAACTTTACAACATCGATTCACTATAAGATTTATATTATAGTAGTCAAATTTTTACATATGAAATTACTGATATCAAATTCAATTTCTACTCTAAAAAAGTTTGTTCCAATATATTGTTAGAAAAAAGATACAAGTAAAAATTACAGCTTGATGAGAGGCAATTTTAACAAATTATCTCTGAAAGATATTTTTTTCAGACAGTATAATGATTTGAGAATATTTGATTATATATTTATCTTCTTTGCCATACAGAATATTAAAACCCCATATCATTTTAATCTTACTTTATGTGTTTTTTCTTGAAGGATATACATTTCTGTTTACACATCCCTTGTTGGGCACGAAAAGCAGCTTGTGCTGTCGAGTACGGACCCAAAACATATCACTAGTTATGACCTTAAAGGTTTAATTTTGAAGCATAAAGTGGTGATAATTTACCTCCACAGAATTTCCATGGAATATTAGCCAAAAATATGAATTTTGAGCTAAAAGTGGGTCACTGTATGGCGGCCAATCAGAACCTAAATGTACAGTAACCCGAGACAATATGAAAGGAGGTAGCCCTGAAAAGGGCTGTTAGGCCAGCAAAGGTCCTGCCTTTCAAGCCATCACTCTCTGTGCTTGGGGCTCACGCACCCTAGCACACTTTTCTCATCCTCCCTGCCTACTTTCAGGACACTGGCAGATAAGTTCATACAAGCTCAGTGGCTCAGCCTTAAATATTACTCTGAGCTGGAGAGAGCGTGATATAATGCCGACTTAAACGTCACTGAGGATCTTTAACCATCTGCAGATGCCCTGTGCCTACACAACAATGTGCATATACCGAGGGGAAAGAGGGAAGACTGGTTACAAATATTGCTTACCATTATGTATTGGTTATAAGTACCACTTATCAATATGGAAGCATCCATTACTATATTTGTTAACCTTTTCATTTACCAATTTTTAGGGGTGGGGGATTTTCAGTGTATTTTTGAAATTTGAAAGCCAGAAATTTGGAAATTTTCTGTCTATTCTTTTATTGTGAACTGTGCCATTTTTTGGTATTAGTTATACAAGATATAAAAACAATGATGTTATCAGCCAGTAGCATGGGGATTAGGTGGGGATACAGGGGGAGCTAGAGATACAATTAAAGATACTCACTTCTAGTTTCCATTCTGTACACTTTTTAAATCCTTCAAATAAAGAATAAGCACTGACAGAAGTGGGTTACAGTAAAGCATGCACTAGTCTAACTAGTACTACATTAACAATACAGTCAAACACGTGTATAAATAAATATACCAAAGCAGTCCATAATTCTGCTGAATTTGTGTAAAGGATTTGCCATAATTTGAATTTGGAACAGTCCATTCAAAGTTAAAGCAAATGCAATAACAAAATACAATAATTGAGCTACCAACAGTATAGAGCCTGGTCAGACTGCACCTACATGAAGACTGTACTGGATCTAATTGGCTGGCAAAGGCTTATAAATTTTGACTGCATCAGGTTAAAGATTAAATTACAAACTTGTATGATAGAAAATGTTTGAACAGGTCCCTAAACAAACAACTAAGATTTTAATTAAAATAAATGGTTTGGCTGTATTAGCTAAACAACTAGCATAATGACGACATACTGTAAAATTCCTAATAAACGCCCCTCCCCTTATACAGCCCCCCCCCCCAAGGTTTTATGATATCATCAGTGCTAAACTCATGCGTACATTCATAATTTTATTCAAATCCTTCAGAATCCATTTTATTTTATAGTAAACACAAAAAGGTATCATATGCACTTTAAAACATTGATTCTTTTTAACATTATTACCAACACTTGCTAACACTAAATGTTTTTACAATGATTTTTGGATTTTGGAAAAAATTTGTTGTAGTAAAAGCCCCCCTTTTGGAAAATGTTTAGCCCCCTGGGGACGTTTAATAGGAATTTTATGGTAGTTATAGAGGTTAATACATGAACAATACTATACATCTTAAAGATCAATGTAATTTTCATCGGGATATATTAACATAGTAACTGGTGAATGGGTGTAATGATAAATTGTTGAATGGCCACCAAAGACTTCATTAAAGTTGATTTAACTTCTGATTCGCAAAAATCGCAAATATTTCCACTTTGCAAAAATTTACTACTGATACAGTATATGAATCTTTTTCCTCTTTAAACTCATTTTTAACTAAGTTCTGACATGCAAAATATTAAAGCAATGAAGACTTTGACAGAAATATAAGCAAGATAAATATAGTGTAGTAATGATTCAAACTGCCAGTAATAACTACTATTCTACAGTTAGTAGATCATAGTTATAATTAACTGTATTTAGATCAATAGAGCTAGCACACTTGTTAGTGTAAATTAACCTGCCATAATCTTGTCTATAGATTTTTGTACAGTCATCTTATATCTACCAGACAGTATTGATTTGGTATTTATTGTGACAAGCAACAAATTGTTTTGTCAATACAAAATAATTACAAGAAAGCATTTTATGCATCATAAATCTATTATGCAAATCTGGATTTTTGCAACAAAGTTTTTTTATACATGACAGTTAAGAGTCTCACCATATAAAAATGACAACAAATTTTATTTTTCTTAAAAAACTCTAAAAAAATTACACAAATTTTAGTAATTCTGTTCCTTGTTGTATTTTATTTGTGAACTTTCTATCCTGAATACTTAAATCTAAAACTAATTCTGAAGAGAAATACAAGACAATATAGAGAAGAGGGTATCATATATCAAAGGCAAAGTTGAGAAATTCTGTAGCTACTTACTGTACATAAAATGCCTTTCAACTTTTCATATGCTACATCTAAGTCATCATTGATTATAATATGATCATAAGCACCTGGTACTTTTGCTGAAATGAAAGAAAATTAAAATTTACTGGATACTTCATTTGTACCTTTTATTTGATTTACATGTGCTCTTTTTGTTAACAAATATGTTGTGATGAAATTCTTATTCTATCCACTAATCTGATAATTAGGATTAGACAGGTCAGGGATCTATGCATTGGTAAAGACAAACACAAACAAATTTCTGCATCCTTCCAATATTGTTAAAACTTCACTTACCATAATCTAGAGCTTCTTGTACTGTGTCTAACCTTTTCTTTAAACTTTCCTCAGTTTCAGTGCCACGACCTCGCAATCTCTTCTCCTGCAAGAGGAAATTTATATGTAGTGAATTAAAATATATGTTTATACCGATTAATTTTGCAAAGTGGAAACATTCGCATGTTCGTGAATCAAAATAATTCGCAAATTTTTTTGTGATGTAAAGGTATTCACTTACACAGTAGTTCTTTCATAGATAATCTGCTATAGATTGAATCATAAACAATGATAACACTTTGAATTAAAAAAAAAATCTGTTTAAATATATCTGTTAAAACTAAATCTGCTGGAACTAAAGATGACAGCCTGTGCCACCAGTTTAGTGTCAGGCCCGCCTGCACAGCCATGAAGTCTGACCAGAGTTAAAACTGTTGGAAGGCATGCTTAAAATTTTCATCCAGATATTTTCAAAATTGATAACGGAAAGTTTCAAAATTTGATACTGGATAAGTTTAATTAAAAAGTTTTGCAAATTAAGTGTAAATATTTACTGCTTTGATAAAGATGCTCGTTGATAGCTTTTATGTTTTTAAATTTTTCTACAAGAGTTAGAAAAAATTATAAGAAACCAAAAAATACTGCAGTAGGATCAATGAAAAATACTTCAACTATTCCCTACCAAGAAAATGGAAAGCTTGTTCATTTCTTTTCATATTTCAACAAATAACAAACTTGTAGATTAATCTCAGGGGAAAAAATAACTTGTACACACATAGCAAAATACAGTAAATGTGAAAATGAAGTTTCTGACTTACCAATGCTTCCATACTAGGTGGTTGAACAAATATATATTTAGCTTTAAAATCTGTAGCTTTTATATTTTTTACACCATTAATCTCCACATCAAGGATACAGATCTTTCCACTTGACTGAACCTTCTCCACCGCCATTTTACTTCAAAAGAAAGCATGAAAAATTAAACTAAAATATTGCTGACTACACGCATGTTCTCGAAGGAAATCTTGCGATAATTAATCGAAAGTGATGTCATGTGATGAACACAGTGCACTTATTTCTGATATTCGAGAGAAAGGTAAAAAAATATGCTGAACTTTTTATCTATGTTAGTTGCATAGGCTCATTATCATAAATGTTTGCCCGGCATTCATTTTAACATGTTTCATTGTTTTTCATGTTGACCATTGCATTTAAGTAACAGAGCATTTTGACTCATTATAATATCATTAGATGAAAAAGGGAGATAACCTAGTTCCATAACAATTCCCAGAAAATTGGGCATGCTCTAAGAAACCTCCATCAGCTACCATTTTTTCAAACACAGCTCTGTCCACAAAATAATAATCTGAAATACAGAAAATAAATTATAAAATACTTTCTATATATCAGTCAGTCAATTAATCTACTTGTAGTCACATTGTTTTTGTGGGTTTTTTTTTCAGTCAGGGGATGGGCCATACATTTAGGGAAACATAACAATTATTATGTATTTAGTAATATGCAGCAAGAGGTGAAAATCTAAGGGGAGTCAGCCCTTGAACATGCCCTGGGAAAGGGAAAAAGTCTGCGCACATGACATTAAATGTTTTATTTTTTGTGTTTTTTTTTTTTGTATTATATTTCAATATTTGCATAAACAACAAATACCATGTGTATGTTTTACAATTAGAACTTGCAGAAAATAGTGCTGAATTGACATAGTTTGTCATTAAGCAGCAAAATGTATAACTGACTTCCATACAAAATACTGCATCACTTTAACTGTACTCAATTGCAAAACAGAAAAGACGGTTCAGTTAGTCAGTTTAAGTTTTTGTTTGGTTTTACATCACACCAACACAGTAGATGTCATATGCAAACCTTCAAGCTTTATTGGTGGATGAAGACCTCATGTGACTCAGGGCTCTCGTTAGCATTTTGAGACTGGGGCCAGGGTCCATGCAGGGGGGTGGGGGGAATTTTGCATGATTTTCAAATATTTTTCATTGAAGGGGTAATTTTTTTTTCGGTAAGACTTGAAATTGTGCGACATGTTGGAATGCTAAAAACTGTCCCGAACGTTTTATTTATACATACATACTAATTTCCTAATGCCGTTCACGGAATACGTCATACTAACTTCTGGTTGCCATTCGTGGAATATATATTTGCCGATCGGTGTTTTCTATGCCTGTTAAATATTAATTTCAAGGGGGATTTTTTTCAGTTTTAGGGGAAAAAACACACTTTTTTGGTGGGGGAATGGGGCCGAATACGGCCCCAAATTTTACCAAACGAGAGCCCTGGCACTATTTAAGGCAAGAGCGGTCACACAAGTAGAATCACATCTTTCTTAAAAATCTGGATACTAGTATCTTTTTCTCATGAAAATCCACGATGGTGTGGGGCAAGTGGTTGGATGTGAACAACCTTAACTACTCTACCACCCCTTGTCAATGAGTTACTTCAAACTATAGCAGGACTACAACAATATAATTATTTTTTTATGGTCCTCTAACGAATCTACAGTGAGTAGAACAGATAAAGTCTAGCTTTAGTATATGAAGTAAAACATACCTTTCCCGTCTGTTTCCCCTTCACGCGGCTTCCTTGTTGTGTCTAGAAAAAAACACACACAAAAAACATCAATTTCTAAAGCATAAATAAAGACCTAAAAGAATTAAAGGACTAACTTTGTAGCATGAAAGAGAATATTTTAATATAAACAGTACACTGCCTAACTGGGAATAAAATTCTGTTTAATCATTCTGAAGGCCATATTTCTACTGCATTCTAATTTTTTTTTTCATTTACATTTTCTCTCTCATTTATTTACATTTACTTACTGTTTAATTATGTTAATTCAAATGCGTAAAAATTGTTACAAATCACATACTTATGCTGATTTAGTGACTCAATATAAATAGTAATGCAAGACAATGCATGTATTTTGACATGACGTAATTTATGTCAGCAATACACTAAAGGAACATCAATGAAAAATATTATTTTTTCATTTTAAACATTCTTTTTTTGGGGGTATGTGATAATTAGAATATTATATATATTCATCCGGGTTCATTCCTGAATTTATTGAACTTATTGAATAAAACAATATGCACACCAGATGTCCGCATACTATAATTTTATTCAACTTGTTTAATAAATTCAGTATTGAACTTGTACTCATTAAAAATCCTCTATTTAATCACACATTCATCCTTCCAATCTCACTTACATTAAGAAACTTACGAGAAACACTAAACTCAAAACATCCTGGAAAATCTTTGAACATTTTCTGAAGGAGCGTGCTCTTGCCACTTCCAGAAGGTCCACTGATCACCACTGGTTTAAAAGACGCCATAGCTCTTCCTATTTAAGAAATAACAAAATATTAATAAACAATATATAAGAAATTCACATATAAAATATATTTTTCATTACAAAAATGAAATATTTCTTCCTGATTTATTCTAACTTCTATCTAAAATTCATTCAGTTTTATATTTTTTCACTCTGGCCTTTAACCATTTTTACTTACTATTCCTGTGAATGGGATAGTGAGTCTTACAGAATATAATTATGTTGATTTTAAAGCAGCTTCACAAATTTAAATTACTGTAAGTAATCTATTCATTATCTCAATATAAATATTATAAAACCAGGCATCAAACAGATAGATTAAGGACTGGCTGAATCTGCTATTGTTTACTTGTCTTTGAACATTCTAGAAAACTCCATCTTTATGCTAATTGCTTTGTATATAGAGAGACTTAAATTCTTGATTTACCTCACCTTTGGTAAATTCAGGCCTTTTTTTCACTTATATCATAGTTTATACATTCTGTTACAAATATGCAAAATTTCAAACGACACAAACTTTTTTAAAGAATTCAGCCATCAATCGATTAGCGTGACCAGATGGGCAGGTACTGAATTACTGCTTGGGATTCAACATTTTCGATAAAACTGACTTCTTTCATGTCTCTTTTTTCTTGAATGAGAAAATGTCTGCTTATTTTTATAATGATCGTCAAATACAGAAATGAAACTAAAAAAGTGTAGAAGCTTTTTTTTTTAAACGAAATCTTCGGAGACTCGAGTCGGGACCGCAAAGCGGGAACGGGCTCTGGTTCGCCAGGCTAATACTGTAAATCCGGTATTTTTCGCGATGTTTTAATTTTCGCTATTATTCGCGAATCGGCCTCGTCGCGAATTCATGATGCCGCGTAAATTTTATAACATAACATATATTATAAAAAATAAATCTGATGATAATTTCTTTTCGAATTGTGATAAAGTGAATACATTTTAATAAATACAATAACTGAATGCAAATATTTAATATGTGCAATGTTTTATATACATCATAATAAAGATATGAAGGTTAAAGATTTTTCCCATTCCTTTTTTTCTCATGAATACATGCATGTAAAACACAAAAAGAGACAATATCCACAAAGTTTGCACTTTACAGACAAATGTTAACACATATTGTTTAGATGACAATTGATTTACGATAAAACAGTGATCAACGGACAATTTTCATACGGTAGATTAAGTACTATAAACAAGTATATAACACCTTCTTACAAACATTTAACGTTTTATCAAACCCGTTATTTGCAAACAAAAAACAAATTTGACAAATGATTAGAAAACCGTTCATAATAAGTCAATTACAATTTTGTATATAAAATAAATAAATAAAAACGGTCTCTTATTAACACCATTAACATTTACCTTGCATAAGAGCGACACAGTATAAGATAACTTCAACCTACCCTGTTATATTGAGGAAATAAAATTCAAATAATCGCGAATATAAATTTCTGACCCTGCCATCGCGAATTCATGAATACGCGAAATAATCCGGGGGTAGGGTTTTCGCGAAATAAAGATCACGCGAATATAAAGTGATTTACAGTAGACTACACAATGTACACATGTATATTGAAAAGAAAATCAAATAAAAACAAATTAAAAATTAAATAGTATTTTATACAGGTAGCCTGGAACCCCGTTGTATCAATCTATTTACCCATAAATCACAACTGCAGTTAAAAAATTTATATCTCCCTGAATCTTTACTTTGTATTATTTATTTTGATTCTTTTGTCACAATATTTACATGGCAAACATCACTGATATATAATTTTTAGCTTTGGAATATACGGTTATTTATAGACATGTCAAACAGGTTGGAGAATTAGGTCACGCCATTATATTGATGCATTGTGAGAATCGCTCAGTTAGTCAAAGTTTGGGAAGCCTGACCCATCTTTATGCTAGATTTTTCAGTCAATTAGAATTCAAGATGTCTGTTTAAAATGTCAGCATAAATTTAGGAACTTTCAACAGACAGTTAATGTGCTTTTAATAAGAACACACTATTTATAAGTCTTTTTATTATCTACAAATTCTGATGGTACTGGAAACCTGTTTTTGATCATTTTTACAACACGAAACAAATGCGAAACATTTTCGTGACACTGTTGTAAATGTTAGCAATCAGTAGCTAGTGCATTTTGCAAAAAAATCGAAATATTTGTAAATAGATCGATACAATGAATAGCATGATACAATGGGGTTCCACTATATATCAATGAAATTTTCAGTGTCAGTTCTAGTTTATTGCCTCCACTTCAAATTTAGCTCGATGATAATTGCCTTTAGAAGTATTATGATAAAGGAACAATCGCTTTGTTCTGGCTTAAGAAAAATACTGCAGAGCTTCCGACTGAAAACTGAAGCGGAGCATGAAATAACGAATGACTCTTTTAAAAATGAAAGCTGTAAAATAATTTTTTTATCCGACTTCCATAGGCTTTGACTTCTTTCATATTAGAAAAGGACTAAGGGCGAAAAGAAAGTCTTTGGTGATAATATAATTTTGTGAAACGTATAGATCTACATACAATTTACAAAATTTGGGCCGTACAAATAATTTGGGAGTGAAAAGTCTAGGTGTGACGTGTGAACCGAACCCTCTTGAGAGCGAAAGCATGGTCATAGGAGTGAAACGTGTGGCATTCCTTAAATACATGTAAATTAAACACTACGAAATAAGAGCACAGCGATACTCATACCTGAATAAGCTCTTATAAAACCTAAAGCCTGTGGCAAGACACGCATACAGATTTTTATATCGGCGTCCCTTGTGATAATAACGTTTAAAACTGGTTTAATGAAAATTTTACTTTGTTGAACTTGTTTTATTTTGCATTTTGAGAACCAGACTGTTAAGCATATACTAATGTCTGTCGTACCGTCTTGTTCCGTAAAAAATTGGTACGTTACGGTACCGTACTAGAATTGATAACGATTCGCCTCGTTAACGATTCGATCCATAACGATTCGACACTTAAGTGACAATTCGCTTCAAAAATTGATACATGAATATTAAAATTTGTTAATTATAAAAGCACGGATTTATATTACAATATAAATCCGTGATAATAGCTAGAATATTTGTGGTTGATTATTAAGTAAAATTGAAGTTAAATGTATTATAGTAATCATAGTCGGTAACAATAGATGGAAATAAATAATATTTAAAAGTATATATGTATTTTTTCCCCAATGTTTTGGTTTATTAAATATAAATTAAAAGAGGAGTTTTACGACATTGAATGAAGTCGGGACCCGGGAAAAAACAATAGAATAAAAGGTCTTCTTTGCCTTATATCAAATGTGCACGAACAATATTTAAGGAATATATTTCCTAAATAAGTGGCAATGGGTAAACAACTTTATATTCTCGATTGAACAAAGCGATGCTCTTGAAAGAATAGATATAATCATACATGTATATATATTGCAAAAATTGGCATGCAATCGGAACAGATCTGTTTCTGTTTTATCCGAGTCTGGATCAACGAACAGAGAGCAATTACAAACGATTGCAAAAGAGAATGAAACCTTATATTCAGAAGCAATTGATTGTCAATCGTATCTGAAAAAAATAAATAAAAAGGTTAATGAAAGACAAAACAACAACAAAATGGTCCTCTGTATATAAGGAAATGATTGATTTTCAACATGCGTTGCAAAGTCTTGTTGTCTCACAAATGAAACAACAAGAGGATCAAATGACGTTAATTACAACAAGCCTTTTTAGAACGCTTAGAAAAAAGATACCTTAAAAACAAAAATATTGGCGATAAAGTTCAATTATCTACGAAGCCAACTCTATTGAGAAGCGAAAAGTGCAATATCGTGTTTGAAGCTTTCTGGTGACATATGCGGTTATCATGTTGCTATTAAATCATTTCAGGAAAGATATGGAAAGACAAAACAAAAGTGCTTCTTCAAATCATAGTCATCTCATCAACTTTACTTTCTCTACTAGTAAGAATCAGATTAAAGATAAAGAAAGCAATATTAAAACAATAAAATAATAATACGCTATGATGTACATCACATGCATATAATCATATTGAACTGTTTCCACGTCTCTGTTGTGCAGTTTTAACAAAATGATCTAAGGTACTCTTCTACTCTTTTTTTACCTTTAATGGTATGTTTTTGATGTCTTGTACTGCTGTACTGCCAGATCGCTTGCAAATGAACAGGAGAATGTGTTTATGTGTTCATAGATTTCCAATGGTTGGAGAAATATATCTGTGGGACGAAAAATGACGTCAATGTGACAAGGGATCGAATCATGTGATTTGCCCTTGTTTAAGTATGATATAGCCTATATTTGTGGCATTTCCGTTATATAGTCAGTACTTACTATTAGTACGTTTGGACATTTATGTTACACTTATTGGATGACGCTGTAAAAAAAACTTGTAAAATTTTAGTCTCTATTTTGTTTCATTTATATATCCAATGTTTGTACAGTATTTGTCTTAGAGGTCCACTATTTTTGATGATGATTACAATGTATCGTCTATTCATCGGAGTTTATGCAATCTAAGTTTTAGCACAATAGTTACTTATTTCATTTATCACACGACCTTCCATTCTATTAGCATGTTCTATAGAAGGTTTAAACAACAATACCAGTCTTCTAAGTATATATGATTACTTTAAAAAAGTAGATATATCGATATATTTATTAATATAAGCAATGCTTTCCGTATATGTAGACAATACAAACAATTGATTAATTTAATATCTACATTTTAATATAAAGCAATGTGATTAATACGAAATATTATTTAGCAATGTAAATTACTAATATGAACATTTTGATATTAAGCACTGAAGACATTATTATTAATTTGATGCCAGATGCCAATGCAGAACTTATTATCTGTGGAAATTTAAATGTACGAACAGCTGATAGAAGCGACTGTTTGTATACATGTAAATATACTTTTGATATATATGCATATGCTGATATTTTTGAAGATAACATTTTAGGTCCAAGAATTTCTTGTGATAAAAAAGTTAATACATTTGGTATAGATTTATTAGAATTATGTAAAACGTATATGATACGAATAGCAAATGGAAGGTTATGTAGAGATCAAAACAAAGGGGATTTTACATTTGTTAGTCACGTAGGTTGCAGTGTAATTGATTATTTGTTATTTTCAGATAGAATTTTATAATTCATAAATTAACTGATTTTTATATTGAACATTTGCCATTAAGTTTTGAAATTGAATGTCAAAATATCGACAGGGTTATAGTAAATAAAGTTTATAATAAACATACCAAAAGAAACAGGTATATTTTTACAGACACCAATATTATGGTGGCATATTTCTGCCACCAGATAACCTGATAACTAACTAGTTAATTAAGAGGTTAACTAGTTACGTAACTAGTTAACATCTTAATTAACTAGTTAGTTATCAGGTTAAAAAAAAAATTTTTTTTCAATAAATAAAAGATCATAACGGGAAATAAATGCATGTTTGTGCCTGCAACTGCCATCCTTTTATTAAATTATCAGCTTAAAATTAAAAGGTTAACTAGTTACGTAACTAGTTAACCTCTTAATTAACTAGTTAATTAATAGGTTAACTAGTTACGTAAATACCTAACTAGTTAACCTCTTAATTATCTAGTTAGTTAAGAGGTTAACTAGTTACGTAAATACCTAACTAGTTAACCTGTTAATTAACTAGTTAATTAAGAGGTTAACTAGTTACGTTTTTACGTAACTAGTTAACCTCTTAACTAACTAGTTAATTAATAGGTTAACTAGTTACGTAACTAGTTAACCCGTTATCACTTATCTAGTTATAGAAAGAGCACCGAAACACGAGGCTATCTGATTTGTACGAGGGGGCGTAGCCCCCGAGTATAAATCAGATTGCCGAGTATTTCGGTGTTCTTTCTCTTTTGTATCATAGTCGAACATAAAAACACGTTCCCTGTTGTCACAATTTTAAACCCCGGGAAAAAGTAACCAATGATCGAGCATCTGAATATATTTCTGCCGCTTTCTCTTTCTCTGCCGTCACAATATGTAAACCCCAGCAAAAATGAGCCAATCAACGGGCATGATCTGGAGTGCGGGTAACTGATACCTGCACTCTAGTTACCGCACTGTGCATGTATATGTATACGATTTAGCTCTGAAACTTTTTCAACAGAAAGGTCCCCAAACTATGATACAATAAAGAGATATTGCATAATATTTGGAATACCCGTACTGTCCGCTTATGAGCGGGGTATAACTAAAATACGAAAATATGGTTATTTTTAGCGAAAATAGCATTTTGGCATGAGCGGCAAGATATTCCCTTGTTTATTGCACGTGTCTCAAAGCATCGGGTCAATTTCCTGTGTATCTGTTTATTTGTCCAGAGCCTTTGAACGTTAAGACTTTCATTGTCTGACTAATACATATCCTATTTGATATAAACAATATACATACCTAAATGAAACGTAATCGGGCCTTAAAGTAATCATTTGTACTGACCCATGAAAAGGCATGTTATAAAACATAAACTAATCAAAGGGTTTATTGATGTATCTTATTATAACCACCAACCCTGTTGCACCTGTCCATTAAGATATGGAAAGTATTGATTAATTACTTTACAACATTCCATGTACTCGTCGATACACAAATCATTACCTTAACAGGAAGGTATACAAATACACCAAGAAACGAATAATGTCGTAAATCATGCAATGTTATATTTGTTTGTAACAGAATATCTTTCTCTTTTAGTATGTCCAAAAACATAGGACTAAAAAAAACTTTAAAACACACAACATAGTTTGTCAATAATAAAAAAGACACTTTAAGTATATAAAATCTTCGTAATATTAGGTAACTGCTATAATGCTAAACTGATCTCGGTGAAGCATAATACTTTTTTTACATAGAGCATTTAATTAAATGTTGCTATACACATTGTACTCTTTTATGCAATCAATGACTGGAATGAAGGGGCCAATCCAACACTGGCACTTTTACATCCATGAATTGGCAACACGTGCAACACGTGCGACACGTGTCATAAAGGGGCTTCATAACACCTTTAATTTAGGTATTTCTGATATTGCAGTCGAGTTAACTGCACAAACGTCAAACTTTATTACACACATTGAGAAATGACAAATCAAAATAAAGTAAATCATCATCTTCGTCATGTTAACCATGGATCAGGAGCATAGATCAGGATGATATCGATAGGCCCGGTATCCAATGTTTACAAATGTCCACCGATGCTCTCCTGGATGCGTGTTTAAATTATATCATTGATTAAAAATGCCTTATGGCACATTTGTGCAATTACCTTTTTTGTGTTAGTTGATATATTCATTATATGCTTACGATTTTATATGAATCGTGCGTGTTTAAATGATACCAGTAATTAAACATACTTAATGCATGCACATCTTGATTTGTGCAATGCCCTATGTATTTTGTGTGAGAGTTCACTATTATTTGTTAGTGTTGCTAGTTTTAGTCTTAAGTTGCAATTCAAAGATATGACAGTAAACGATCTTAAATGGTTGTTTGAATTACTTTATACCTTTATGTTAAATTACAACATTGAATAAAATGTATTTTGCATTCATTTTCTGGGTTTTTTTTTACTTCTGTCTTTAAATTCAAAGATACATATTTAATACAAATTTAATTGTGTTTTGGTACAATTATTGCTTTACAACTCAAACTATTTTACAATCAAGGTAAAATAGAACAGTAAAAGCATCATCATTATCCGACAATGATACCTTCAAAGGGGAATAAAAAGCGAGTCATGTCAGAATGAGATTAGGGATCTGATAACATTGCAGTAGCACTCAATCCAGTATCTGACCATTC